TTAGGGAATAGGTACATGTACATAACATATCCTGGTTCTTTGTTAATTCCCCTTCCTCTCCTCAGTCTATAGATCACCTTTCCTTCTCATTATTATTATTATTATTTATTATTATTATTATTATTATTATTATTATTATTATTATTATTATTAGAGCTGAGTTTATATTGACAACATGTAATCTTTACATTCATGGTATGTATTTGGTACATGTACAGGACACATCTTAAATTTTTTTCTATCCCTCTTTCCTCTTCCCCTCCCTTCATCTTTGGTCTCTTGGACACTTTCCTGTTTGCAAAAGATACATTTCCATGTTTCTTTTGCTCAATATTTTATTTTGCTATTTGTTTGTACTTAACATTACTCAAATGAAAGAAACCATACTATGTTTCACCTTGTGTGTCTGATTTATTTCACTTAAAATTATGCTTTCTAGATATATCCATTTTCCTACAAATGTCTCAGACTTATCCTTTATAGCTGAAGAGTACTCCATTAGGTATAGATTTTTTAGCCACTAAAACAAATTTGCTTTGAACATCTCTAAACAATGCCTTTAGGTGAACATACATTTGTTTGTTTCTCTTGGGTAAATTCCTAGAATTGGAATATATGAATGATATGGTAGTAACATCATCTGTTTGAGATACTCTCAAAATGTTCCCGTAATGGGTGCGCCCTTTTACATATCAAACAAAAATGTATGAGAATTTAAAGTGTTCTACATTCTCATCAACATTGGCATGGCCAGTATTTTTAAATTGTAGCTATTTCAAATGCAGCAAAGTGGTTTTAATTAGTTTCTTTAAAATTTTATTATTATTATTATTATTAGTAGTAGTAGTAGTAGTAATAGTAGTAACAGTAGTGAATTATTCCAACCATCACTTGACATGCTTACTTTTGCTATTTTATTATTTTTTCTTATCTGTCTATTCATCTATCTACTTTCTATTTGTAATCTATTTTTTTTGTTCAAATGTTTCAGCCATGATTGACTGGGGTTTCTCATTATTATTTATTGATATTACTTTTATTTGTTAGCAGCAATTGACAACCCTCCATTTTTGTCCTTTCACTGAGTAATAAGACTTGTTTATAAGAAGTTCCATAATCAGCTTCTTTATGGATAAAGTCAATGATATGTATTTTTCCAAATCATTATGTCAAAATTGTGAGAAGCAAAACTAGCCAGCATTTACTAATATCTTGTCCTCAACAATTATACTTGCCACTTCATATATTTTATATCAATAACTCTTATCTCTGACAGCAAATAACAACCACCCGGATATGTGTGTGTGTGTGTG